ACAATTTTAATAATACTCATTCCAGTAAGAGCGCATTAAGATAGCGCGTTGTGTGTCGTGGCCCCATCAGCCCCACCCTTAACCCCGCTTAAGTAAAACCCTCTTATTTCTTTTAGTGGCTCGCATGAAACCTATAATTATAAAAGGTACCTTACACAAGAATCTTTATCATCTACGCATTTTTATCTTCTATTATCGATAGTTTAAAACACTCTCACTGTTTAAATTTCTTATTTTTAATTTGTTGATATTCTGTGAAAGGCAAAGATTAGTCATTGCGCATTACTTACGGGCGTTAAGTATTTAAAATAACATCATGAGGTTCTCTTTTTTAATTAAATCTGTTATTGGATAGAAAATGTTTGACATAAGCATAGATAGTTTCAAATCCCATGCAACACCGAAAAATGCCTTAATTTCTCCACTATCCGTCACCCTCCATCACTGTCATGTATACGCTAAGAAACACATTAATATACATATTCGATATCTATTTGTATATCTGTCTATATTTGGTCTTTGGACTCGCTTCAAGGTAAAACATCAACCACGTATCCCGAAATATAAGCGAAGTTTCGAGCTTTGTATGTGTTATGAATATTCCATAGTCGTAAACCGTATACCTTTATTGTCATCGATAAGGTGAGCTCAGCCGCTTGCGTTACACGTTCCTGTTATAACAATTACAAATAGTTATGTTGATCTAATCATAGCACCTGATTAGAATACCATGTTACCAATTGTTCAGACGTTTGTTTGTTTGCTATTGGCGTTTTCATTCATTCAATGTTATTACAAATTCTTCCAGGTGTACCGATATTATCACTATTCTCGATGGCTCATGCATAGATTATTGTAAGCCACAATTTTGCCTTTTACACCCTTTTTTACTACTAATTTAATTAACATTTCAAGCTAAATTAAGCGAAGTGTGATTTGTGCAACAATTCTGAAATGTGGAACTATATAAAGTTGGTATAATTATAAATTATACGCGCACATCGCCTATATTTAGAGTAAAGTAAAAAAGACGTATTTAGACGTGAACGCACACACATTCGTATAATTGCGTTCACCTTTGTACGGAAGAACAGAATCGTAATAATGTTGATTAACATATTCTCCGCACTCCACCTGCGAGTGAACAACTAACGAAGAACCCTTCAGACTCAGAAGTTTGCGTCTCGTTCGCTCTCGCTTTGTGAAGTGCGCGTCACGCCCCCCACCCGGCCCTCAAAACGTCTTTTAATGAAATGCGATCGTCGCAAATTCGTCTAAATTCTCGCAACAATGAACGCAACAACAGGCGCTTCGACTACGCAATACGTACTCGCCCGCCCGCATAACGAGAGCTTAAATTAAATAACAACGAAACTTTGAGAAGCTTCGAGTCGAGTGCGGTGGGGTAGAGCGAATGGGCGATATTAGTTCGATTCCTATTGGAACTTTCTGACCGCAAACTATTCGTGACGGGCTCTCGAGAGCCGAGCTCTTATAGTAGCGTGCCAGTTTGTCAAGAAAATAATTATACCTTGTAAATAGCTTCGAGTTCAAAGCGACGATTGATATTATTTATTTCGCCCCAAGTGTTTGTCAAGTGCTTCATGTAATGATTTACTACGTAGATCTTTTTAATTAACAAAATTAACTATGTAAACAAATATCGTTACAGATTTTTTAAGGCTCAAGTAAATTCTTATAAGATTATCAAAATAAAAGACATCACTAGGTTTTCAAATGATATTTATCACGAACTAACTCTTATTCCCGTTAAAATTAATCAAAACATGGCACTAAAAACTTAAAAAATTGTGTGTTCATTTTGAAAGCAAAGCTTAAGCGCTATATTTGTTCAAATACCGCACGAGGACAAAAGCGTCACGACAAAAATGTACTAGTCTGTGCAGACGATTATTGAAACGGGGGAGCGCTTTGACGGACACGATTCAATCTGGTAATCGGAAATGGGCATTGTGCTACAAAGGCCCCATTGTGATCAGACATCGCCGCGTTCGCGTCTCCTCGTACGCCCCCTGCTCGCGAATATTCATGTCCATTATACAGCACACACTGATAGATAGCCTCCATATTTGCACCTAACTAAATCTTGCATGCTTAATTCATGTGCATTGATGAATGTATGTCCGCGGTAGAATATAACGCGTGATTATTTTGCAGTCAACGAGAATAGTTCCTCTAATCGTACTTCGTAGTAATATAATAAATGTGAAAGTTTAGATGATTAGAGGTTTGTAAGAGTTTGTCGCCTAAGCGGCTGAACGGATTTCGATGAAATTTGGCGTAGATGTAGATCATAGTCTGGAAGAAGACATAAGCTATTTTTTTAGATTTCACACAGACGGAGTTGCAGGCGAAAGCTAGTATTCTTAAAGGTTATTTAAAAAAGAATATAACGGAACGAAATGTCCTTCAACTACATACACAATATATAAAGGGAAAATCCGAAGAATTCTCACAAATTGCTGAGAAACAGATGCGAAGGTCGTCTATTCAATTAAACAAAATAGAGGTCAGACTTGAAGAAAAATAAAGTATTTTTTTTAGAATTTATGCAAAAGATTTCTATTCGGAGTAAAGCAACGTTTGAGAAAAGTCAAATGATATCGAAAAGTTAGCATTTGGATTCGAAATTGATTTATTATTAAATCTAGAGATTTTATAAAGATAGAAAACTTTTCTTTGCGTATTATTATTGAACATTTTAATTTAGCAATAATCACATTTACATTTCAATGTTATTAAATACAGCTATGAAAAGTAGGGAGGAGTGTATTTTCTCAGATCGCGGACAAAAGAAACGTAGACTTGGGAGGATAAGTCCTTTCCGAAAGTGGACCGCGATTTACAAATCTCAAGTACAAGAGCTCTCAACCCTCCTGTGCCTCCCTCACTCTCGCTTTCTAATCAAGATTGTGATTTGATCCATCACTAACCGATTTATTAATTTGTTACTTTTAACTTAAACTAAGATTAATCAAATATCGGTCTTATTAAATAAAGGCCCAAGATCAAGATAATTTTATATTTATTAGTTTTCTTAAGACAAACTTCGTGCTTGACCTGTTTAATTAGCTACGTGCAAAAGAATAAAGAAATAGAATTATCTAAAACATAGGAAAAGGAAATAGAATACAGTTTTATCAAATAAAAGGTAATAAATGGGACAGGCGTCGTTATCACTGACAGAAGCAGATCGAATGGAAGAAAGATGGCAGTTTCCCTGGAGACATGTTCGACCCACAGCACATATATCCTGTCGCGTCCCACACATAAAGAAATATTACCTACATACCGAAAAGTCGGGTAATATTGTCTACAAATAGCAAACTAGTTTAATACAATAACATAACATAAATATGTCACCTTATTATTTTTACTAAAGCACCTGAAAACCTTCGACTCTTAAAGTATTGTTATAAAGAGCAAAATTTTACTATGGCATCTTAAGAAAACTTCCTAATTTTGAGTTTTAAGATAGTAAACATAGTCTATACTATTATTGCGAACAGCAAAATTTACATTTTCGTTTGTTATATATATATTTGTTTGTTATATATATTTAATATTATAAAGAGGAAAACTTTGTTTATTTGATTCTAATTGGCTCAAAAACTACTGGGCCGATCTAAAAAATTCTTTCACCGTTAGAAAGATAATTTATCTGTGAGTAACATATGCTATGTTTTTTTCATTTCTTTATTATCATTTTTAAATTTCACGCAGACGGAGTCGCGGGCAAAAGCTAGTAACAAATCAACTCAAAATACTATAAGGCCGATTTCAAAATTTCTTTTGCGAAAAAAGCTACACTCATGAGTTAGTGGCAAATTTATTATTTTTTTTTAAATCCGGGTGGAGAAATTCGAAAGAGTCCACTATAATTTGAAAGAGAATTTTTGAATTCAATTTGCTACTGTAAAGAATGCTAGGTAACATAAACTTTGCTTTGCTTTAAAAAAATTGTATCGTTAAAAAGATAGGAGTTGGGAGTTTTAGAAAGTTTTGTCAATACTTCAAGGTATTCGGAAGTCTTGCGTGTCTAGATTTGCTATGAGATATAGATTTTAGAAAACAGGTTACTTCGTACTTTCAAGTTTTCTGGACTGTCTACTCAATAGTTTTACATAGAAAGCGTTTTTACATATTTTAGAACAAAATAAACATAGACATTATTTCTTTGGAATAATTATATGAAAAATGTGGAGATAACTGTATAGTACTTACTTATAATACTATAATAAGCAATCATGCAAATAAAAGAGTATTATAGATAAAGAAACTAAAATTGTCTTGCGGTTGCTTGTGATATAAAACTCGTTGAAATCTTTTCTTAAATTTCAAGTTAACCTAAGTTATTTCCAAGATATATCCCGTAATGAAATTAAATTTATGTTGATATTTAGCTATTTACCTTTTACCAATTCTATAAAAAATAAATTTGAAACATTCCTCTTTTGTTGTAAACAATCTAGTTAAACATAATTCTATTTTTTATCGTTCTCTATGTTTTTTAATTTCGTATTTGTGAATAGAGAGCTTTTCCCACAATTTTAAAATATATGAAAATACAGCATTTGTCACTAGAAGTTAAGTAAGTTTTATTTGAAATCCTAAATTGTTCGAGAATATAATGACAGCAGCAGCGCCAGCGCAGGATATACCACTTTATTTAGATACCTACGTTATTGTAGGTAAGTGAATAAAATGAGATTATTGCCAAGGTAATTGTGTGCTATTGGATGAACGGCGATGACGGTCACAGTAGCGGACATTCAACTCTGCCGGCCTCGCGCTGTCCGTGCCTCCGTGCTCGTCGCCCGCTGCTCCCCAGCACACAGCTCTGTTATTGCACTCACGCCTCTACCTCTCAACACGACACTTATCAAATAATCTGCTCTAACTCACTGGTTAAAAACCTTTTAATCACCCACCATCAAATCAAAGAGTATATCTAAGTTAACAATACAATTTAAACTCACCTTAATACGAAAACTTCTTAACTCGTTATCACACCACAGAAATCCATACGGAATTGTAAGCAAACTTTGAGGCAAATTTTGCATTCAAATCGTACTTGTGGACATGACTGCCGAAGCCGGTATTTTCTCCGAACACTTTCACGACACTTTTTATCTTCACATTTTGTTTTTAGTACGAAAAACCAAGTTAAACTGTTCCAAGATTTTTTCCCAAACACTGAACGTTGAGTACCAACAAGTGTTATAAACAAAGATTGTGTTCGCGAGCGTATGTAAGTTGCGTGGGGGCAGCGTGGCACCTGTCAGCGCGGCGAACAAGTTTGTACTGCCGCTCAGCTCAGCCCGCGCTCAACCGCTGCCGGCCGGCGGCAAGGGCTCGCTTCATACACTACACCCGGTCAAAATAACCCAAACCACATAGATAAGATGATGTAAACAACCAAGCCAAAGATAAGTATAAACTATGCCACTCTGTAAAATTTAGAAAAAAATGTAAAAAGAGACAACAATCGTTATCCTATTTTATAAACAATTTTATGTTTGTTACTGTCTAACAACGCTCTATTTGGCTCTTTATCGGTCTATTTTGTTTTAAGCGCCATCTTTAATTCCGACGAAGAAATTTATAACGCCATCTATCGGTCCAATGCTACACTTCATATAAGTTTAAGTTACTCAAAAGCTCTGAAAACCTAACATGTTTTTGATATGTTAAATCTCCTAAAGGTGGCGTTTAGGTTTAAAACATTTGTACAATTAAAAATTGCAGAAAAGGAATAGGATCATTGTGCAAATGTGTTTTAGTGTTTTTTTTTTATAACACACAAAAGTTCCATATACATTTTTAAAAAAGCTGACTCTATTACAAAGCAATAAACTTCTTAAAGTGGTAAGTTTAACTTGCTTTTTTACAATTAACCTCTTCGGACATAATGCTTCCCAGGTGTATGTGTCCCTGATACTGCTAGAGCTAGACTAGAATCTAGTCTAGTGTGCCCATAGCTCTATACTTGGTCACCATTTCTTCCCATTAGTCACAAATACATTTGTATTCCACCAAGAATAGGGATAGGGCGCACATGGCGGTGACTCATGGCATTATGGTACAAGGAACGTGACAAAATTTTGCTTTAAACTATGTATGTTGATTCATGATGCTTGAAATAATTTATTTTCACTGTTCGATACGAAAATACCAATGATAGACAGACGACTGGTGGTAAAGCAATGTTTTTGGGCCACGTTATCGGGGACGAATTTCGTCATTGATTTATGTTTCTGTCTTCGATTACTTGGTTATTCAGATTATGTTGTTGTTACGTTGTATGATTATGAAGAAAATTTATGGGTGGAAATGATCGCACAGATGCATCACATATATTATCGGCCTTAATGATCTAGACTAGGGAGGACAGTTGCCTTAATATGGCATTATCTGAAAAAGTTTTTTTAATTGTAATACTTTTTCAATTCTCATGAATAAGGGAAGGAAGCAACATTTGACACATCTGTTAAAGAATAAATTTTTCTCACCGCTACTGTATCTTAATATTTTTACAGAAATGTGGAATAACAAACCTTCTTTGCGCCTAAAGCTGGATATAAAATCTTATAAGCAGATTACCGAAGGTTTTCGGCAACCGAAGTGCTGAAAATCGGCAAAGGCTTAGATGTGCGACTTATCTGATAGTCGGTGATTTGAAAACATTTCCTTTCTGGTTTTATATACGTAGTTACTTACATATTTTCATACAAAACTAGTTACGCTTCTTAAATCATACTTACTCATACTAATATTAAAAATATCAAAGTTTAGATGGATGGATGGATGGATAGATGGATGGATGGTTGCCATAGATGTAGAGGATAGTCTAGAAGAACACATAGGCTATTCAGTTTTGTTTTTTTTCAATGCCACGCGAACAGTGTCGCGGGCGAAAGCTAGTGCGTTACAAAACTACATGAAGATTTAACAAGCTTTAACTTAACTATTATATGGAATAATTATTTATGTCAAGTTGTACTTCGGTCGGCGATACTTTCAATACTTGTCACGATGTGGTGTGGCAGTAACCGAATGACCTCGCAGTGACAATGATTTAGCTGATCTAAAATTATCTATTAACAACAAGTATAATTAAAGTTCTAACAGTGGTAGTGCCCGCTTTAACATCTTAGCACAAATGGGCCGGCACGCCCGGTGTAATACCACGACCACACAGAAGACAGGCGTGAAATGGAAGCAATTCCGTGTTTCGTCTGATGAGTGTGGTGCCGGAGGCCTAATTTAAGTCCCTTTCTCTTTATCACCCTTTTCTTATAAGGAGAGGATGGGAAGGGGAAGTGGATTTGACGGTGGAGGAGATGCATAGGAAGGGGTAATATCCTCTTTATGTGCGTCTCCTCCTCCGTCGTATAAGGGTAGGCAACGCATCTGCAACTGCGGATGTCTATGGGCAGCGGTCGCTTCGCCATTTTGGCGGATTCAAGTGGCCGCTTGCTCGTTTGCCACCTTATGTTATAAAAAAAAAAAGTTCTAAAGTTCGAATAATATTTCCATCCGCATGTTGCAATTAGATGATACTTGATCAATATAGGATTAGATTAATAACATCATAAACTTCAAGGATGATTTCGTTGCGAAACCCAACCCGTTCTTGGAAGCAACAAATGCCTACGCGAATGTGATTTTGGCCGGCTTAAAGGGCGACCTTCGATAGTTCTTATGATTGGAACAGATTGCAAGTTTTTACCTGCAAAATTTAATAGTACAAAAAATTATTAGTCTAAGGACGAACATGTACTTCATTTATTATTTTGGCGGTTTAGATAATCTCCTGTACACATTTACTGCCAATAAATCCCAATAAGACAGTATAGATTTATTAGCGTAGAAATCTACAGCATTATCCATATCAACATTGTTATTTTGTACGTTAGTCCGAGATAAGAAGTTTAACAAATTAGTTTTTAACTGTATTAAATCGTCTTATTAATTTGTGTTGCTAATGAACATCGACTAAGAGCAAGATTAGGTAGAATAAATGCGTCTTAGGGAAACCTTATCGCATTGTTTAGAAATTACTACAATATTTAAGGCAACAGGAAAACTTACCAAATCTTTACGTTATTAATAATTCAATTGAAGACATAACCTTCTAGTTTTTAGTTTTAACTTTTTTCTGTAAAATTCTAAGTCTAACACATGATTGTGTCACCTATTGTAGTTTTAGAAGATCACATACAAAATGTATTCAGTTATCATTTGATCGTAACGCCGTATTCTATAAGCAAGGATATTACTAACAAGTATGACAAATACTCTGCGGTTTCCTATCCTAGTGCGTAATTTAATGGCATTCAAAATGACATTTAATTAATAATTATCCTTAAAAACATCAGTCTTCATGACGCTTCGGTAACGTAAGATTAAAAGCATGACGCAGAGTTACAAGTTACGTAATATCGACTTACGAAACTAAGTGAGAACAATGGCTAGATTAGTTCCATGTAAGTCCTTTCTGGTCCAGAAACCACGTCCGGATTTGAAGTGTGACAATCAAAGCGTGCTAGTGAAAGCGCGCAGAGAAATTCCTGTTTCGATAACATTACTAACGTGAATTGTTTGCTGGCTTCTGCTAAAATTATGCAAGCTCACGACCTTAACATAATAGCTTCCACAAATTTAAACATTTTGAACAGCTCCACAAATTTAAACTCTCTTATTCTCGGGGAAAATTTAATAAATTTCATTATTTTCTTCAACGCAACTGTACTGTATAAATTCGTCATTTTAGTTAATATACGAATATTTAATAAATTGTAGACAATCGTTTTCCATTTTACTTAAAACAAAAATTTAGACTGTCCCACCACTGGCTGATAACGGCTGAGACAGCTTAAAAAAGACGTCACTGTCAGATAAGGTGATAAAATCCGATATTTTCATCACATATTTTACATGTTGGATTGTTATCAGACAATTTACAATTTGGTGGGACTAGCCCTTAAACAACTTTTATTAATTAGAAAAGGTTAATGTTTACGATTAGTTATCAATCACGAATTAAAAGCCCGCTGTCATCAATGGCAATAAACGATAAACTATAATAATGTATGAAATCCTTAATGAAGTTATGACTAAATCGTCATAGAACATTGTCATAACATCCTCAAATGAATGAATTCACGTCTTCAGAAGTGTGTACTATTAATTAATTTTAACCTTGAGATAAAATACAAACACGAAGGTGAATGAATGACTTTATTGTTCCATGACTAATTTGTGGGAAGGACTTCATATTGTAATAAAAAAATATATTGGATTATTAAATAAATACTAAGAACTCAGTTATTTGTAATTTATTCCGAATATCAAATATAACTATACGAGCTGTTGCCCGCGACTTCGTACGCGTGGTATTAGAAAACATACAAACTATAAAAATTACAAAAAGCTACGTATCCCTCGGGAACCGGACATTTCTCGGGGTTGAAGCTTATTCCATGTGTACTCCAGACTTTGTTTTATATCTGTGCCAAATTTCATTAAGATATGTTGAACCGTTGCAGAATGATCGAGTAAACATTAAAACACTAAATTAATGAATCCCACGGGAACCGTAACTATTCCAGGGATAAAAAGTAGCCTATATGTTCTTCCAGACTATGCTCTAAACCTGTGCCAAATTTCATGGAGACCCGTTCTGCCGTTTAGGCTACAAACGCTAACAAACATCTATCCATCTATCTATCCATCCATCCATCTAAACTTTCGCATTTATAATATTAGTATGATTTACATTTCTTATATATCGATATAGAGATTTTTGTATATTTCAGCCTAATAAGTCCAACTTTGTGAACTTATTTCGCTGTCTTTAATAGTAATCTAACAAAATACTTAATATTTTTAATACATCCAATAACGCGAATGTGTGTTTGAATTAATACATACCAATTATATTGTTTAGGTCTGGAAGTGTTTAGTATTTAATTTTTAACACAAAGTGAGTTCCCACGAGGCGCCTCGATGCGGGCAAGAATGTGTTGTGGAGATGATTACGGCACTCGTCGGGCGTCGCTTCGTGGCGTTCAAGTGGAAACCGCTGGTGGGTTCCCAGGCTGAAACCGTATACCATTGTACGCGTCGCGCCGCTCCGGCTTTGTACACACATCATTATCGGAATGTTCTAATACTGTTCCTAAGTTAATGAAGTGTATGTTACGTTTATTAAATTAACGATTTTCATTAATTTGCCCTTGTACCTACGGAGGGTCGGCACAGTGATGCTCTTCTAAACATTTTTATCAGCCGTCCTAAGAAGCGTCATCGATTATAAGAAAAAAATATTTTAATA